ACCGATATATAATTAAACTTTTCTATATAACAAAAGGACAATTATATTTGTATTGTACAGACAACTTTCAACAGATTTAACAATATATTGTACATATACAAAATTACGCTACTTTTTGCATGTTAGGCAATAAATGTAATTGCTTGTATGATATTGCATGATAGCAAAGTTGTTATGCATTTTATTAAAGTAAGAACGATCACTTTGAACTATACCATATATACATCAACATAATCCATTTACTGGAATGATTTAATTTGACATAAAATTGAACGGAAAGAATGAATTCTATGTATTTGTAATTACATTCTTTTTTTTAAGTATTCAAGAAAGATTTTCAACAAGACTTCCTCAGACCGTCGTTTAGTTTGTACAGAAATTGAGATTATGCCCATATATTTTAATAACGTAGTATTCGGCTATATATATATATAAAATTCATTCTCTAGTTCACCACCAATTAAGCGCTCCTTCTTTCAAATATGATAAAATATGCCTGGTATGCTGCAAAATTAGTAGAAGAGAGAACCTTTTTTTCAAATGTCAACAAAATCTGCTTTCCAATAACGCTTGGAAAGCAAAACTGTAGCGTCTGTAAAGAAATTTCTTTTATAAAATGTGCCTGGTGTATATCTGGATACGAGCAAAGTACTAAACATTCAGGGACACCCTGTATAATTTCGCACACGCATTTATATTTCACGTTCGAAAATCGGACTGTCGATCCTTTACGGTGTTATGAAAAGAAAACATAACATATCTCTCCCTTCGACCTTTGTAAGCAGTCTTGACGCGATTTCTGTACTTTAGTATGAAACGACAGTTTAACGTGCGCGGACGTGTTGATCATATAATATTCGGACATAATGCCGACATTGCGAGCCAAAATATGGGAACATTTTAAAAAATTAAAAAAACTAGAAGATTCAACTTTCGAAATAAACTCCAGATATTGTGACAACGTATCTGTTAAAGCAGCAAGTCGAACGTCACTAATGACACACATGCGTATTCATATGCAGTCGTGTCATCAAAACCGTGCCGACGAACTCCGCGACGAACAAGACGACCGCAAATTGCCGAGGGACTTAGCAAGTCAATTTATGTTACATAATTATTATGGCAAATGCACGAATTGTGGTACCGGCCGGATAAACTGCATACGCAGTTTTAACAAACTGTATCAGCACCGATGTCCCAACCGGTAAGTAAGTCCTCATGTCCTCAACGGTATGTAAATATTTATCTCTCATAGAATTTTGAAGAAAAATAGGTTCTTGTTATGACCAAACTTAACTTACGATTTAACTTACAAGTATCTTTTCTAATTCTTAAAACTAGAAAAAATCCACATTAGTAGAAATGGATATGAAAGTATCACAATTAAATAAGCATTTTGATATATGCTCGATACGAAAATAAACAAACCATAGCTCTTCCTTCAACCTTTGTAAGCAGTCTTGACGAGATTTCTACGAGTTGACAGTTGAATTTGCTCAACAGTCTGTGATCGTGTGTGATCGCGACATATATGTTCTGTGATCGCGACCGCGTGGCCTACAATTTTCTTTTACGACGCTGCTTATAAGTTATATATAAAATAGGGGTAAAAAAGACTGAAGAATATAACAGAATTACAAATAGATCGATCTCTCAAATATTGAGAAAATCCAGACAATTAAGCCAATTAAGGAAATTTATTATTTTCTAATTTTATTAATAAAAGCAATTTTTATACATTTAAAAAATTATTTTAAAGTAGAAATAAAAAACTATTGTAATAGTATAACAAATATTAGTCGCAATAAAGATTATCACAATACAAAAAGGGTGCAAGTAGAAACTTGCACATTGCTTCCTCATAGTTTTTAAGTGTGCAAGTAGAAACTTGCACATTGCTTCCTCATAGTTTTTAAGTGTGCAAGTAGAAACTTGCACATTGCTTCCTTATAATTTTTTAATGTACAAATTATAAATTTGAACATTACTTTCTCACATTTTTCAAGTATGCATTTATTTTTTAGATTATTCGTTCACTCCATCACAGTCCACAATGGCAAGCAACAATGGCGCCATTAAAAAAACTAATTTGATCAAAAAAAATCGAAATGTTCAAAAGGAACGCGCCCTAAAATCAATAACAAACCGTGAGTAGAGGCTCTATTGAAAATCCAATCGAAAGAAACAGAGCTAAATAAGAGCCAATTAGCTGTCATTAATGATTGAATAAATCTCTCGCATCAAGAACAGCGAATTGGCTCTT